ATCAAATCAAATCACTTTTATTGTCACGTCACATGTGCAGGTACACTGGTACAGTACATGCGAGTGAAATTCTTGTGTGCGAGCTTCACAGCAACAGAGTTGTGCAAAAATACAGTAATGTAAAAACAAGTAAAATATAAAAATGGCTAATCTAAGTATACAAATGAATAAAGTAAACAATAAGATGAGAGATATAAAATGTACAGAGGTTGGTATGTGCAAAACAGTGGCATTAATGTACAGTATGGAGTGTGTAATGTTGGAACTTGGTGGAGCTTGCGACGAGGCAGCCATACTCGGCGCCATCTTGGCTCATCAATATATGATATAATGGTTTACAAACACAAAAGGGTAATTTATTAGAGTACTTGATTAATCGAAAAAAAGATTCGATAGAGTACTCGATTACAAAAATATTCGATAGCTGCAGCCCTATTTGAGAGCTCTTGCCTGTGTGGCATTTTTGGAGAGGCCTTTTAGAGGCTTGGTTTTAATAAAAAAGTATACTCTTTAAAACATTAACCTTGTGTTCAGACCTCCTCCTTTTGCTGTAGTCCCACAAGCCGGGTTGTAACATGCCCCTTTTGATTCATTACAATACAAACGGTCAGAATGACTGCCAAGGCAGTTCTAGTGTTACATGGGTTCCTCATCAAATTATTATTATTATTTATATGTATTTTATATATTTATTATATTTTACAATTACAATTCATCATCATTAATAAATAATAATAATAATAATAATAATAATAATAATAATAATAATAATAATAATTCTCTTTTCTGAGTATGATTATTCTCAGGACATGTGATTATTTTATTTTATACATGTAGTGCACACTGACATTTTCACAGGCTGTTTGCTATGAAATTCTACATGATACACTTAAAAAAAGCCTGATTTCTTAACATTACACACTGATGTACAACATATATAAAATGTCTACATGGCTTTAGGTTGAGAATATATTTACGTAATTATTACGTTAAGTCTTTAAAACAAAGTTAGAAATTCAGACTTAAAAATAAGCAAATGAATAAATAAATTCAGAAAGAAAGAAAGAAAGAATGAAAGAGAAAGAAAGAAAAAAAGAAACCAGTCTTTAGTTACAAGAATAACACAACAGTTTTCTATAATTAGTCAAAATGTCAGTTTAGTTTGTTCATTCCTTTACTATGTTTGCCTTTTTTAGAACAGTGATGACAATTGAAGCGCACCATGTTACAGTGAGGAACATACGTATTTGAACACCAGGGGCGGATTTAGGACTGAAGAAGATCCGGGGCTTAACACATACACTCGCGCGCGTGCACACACACGTGTAGCGTTATGAAGTTTATAATGGTCTGCCCTTAACAGCTGCCCCTTCACACAGTACCATCGCCAAGGTCGGACGCTTGGTTCAGTATGTTTACATTCCAGGAGAAGAGACAGAAGAACAGAAGAAGAATGCTTTTCATTGATTAATCAAAGTACTTTATTTGTGATAAGCTAATCAAAGCATTTGTTGATCATTAATAATCAGGTGAATGATCTGTGAAATAAAGATGTCATGAGTTATGTGTTTAAATGTATAAACAGGGCTGCACCAGACAGACTGATATGCATTACCATGGAAACGCATGACACATTGTTTTCAACCAATCAGAACTTTCGTCTGTGGTAGGGCAGAATCTGGTTTGTTTATGAAAGTAGTCCAATCCGGTTTACTAAGATTCTTAAACAACTGGGAGATATAAAAAGAAGGCAACGCCATTTTAAGTCAGTTCCACGTCAGTTCCATGTTAAGCAGTTACATGTTAAACTCAGCTCCAGGACATCCGAGTTCCTAAGGATTTCCATCGTCATCATTAAGAAGTTGCAGACTGGCCAGCTGTACTTCCTACTTTGAGCTGAAATCTGTCAAGCTGGAGATTTTCCGTCGTTTGTACCAACGAGACGACGTTCCTTCAAAATAAGAGTGAACTTGCTGACGCCTGCCGACTACGACCGGAGTTATCCTCAGACGGGCGTTGTGTGCTGCGACCGCTGTTTCAACCAGCTCCAGTACCCATGAAGGTCCGAGGACCTGGCAATTCCTGATCTACACGAGAGACTCCCTACGGTACGTGGTCACGGCACAAAATGGCGGCTCATGTCATCAGCAATCGAAGCCTCGTGGTAGCCTAGTCATAACAACCAGATCCGCTACTCAGCCTAGAGATTCTGAACAAAACACACACCCACACCAACACGAAACATCCAAATCCATATGCATTCATCATTGAGATAGTCCTGGTAGATTGTAAGAATTTATAATTATAGAAATTAAAGATTCTTAAACTATCCCAACTCTCTTTTCTTGTCTCTCAGTCAATACAGAGTGTTTAAGTAAACTCCCTGATGATAAAAACAACCACTTCTGATTGATTACTTAGATTGTATAATATACAAAATCAGATAATTAAATTATCTAATTACAGTATATAAATATACAACTTAAAATCACAACACACGTAACACGCACTAGTCAACATCATATATATTTGTCTTGTACCACATAATTTTTAATCTGAAGCTACATATTAAGCATATTCAGGGCAGAATATTGTTCCTGCTAGTGTTAAGTGTGAGATGATAGTAAATATTCCCTTTCTTTCTCCAACAACGTTACCTGATAGTAAGCTAACTTTAGGCAAACCAGCAGCACAACAAATTTTTTCAAATAAGACTCACAAACCTGAGTCAACACCAGTCTCATCAAAGCTGGGGTTCTGTCGTTGTACTTTTTGTCTAAAAAACACCCTTATGTCCATCTTCACTCATGAGTTTCAGGCAGAGGGTGTAGAAGAAGCCGGCTGCTGAAGGGCTTCTTCTTCAGTGGTAGAGGCTCAGGCAGGCTGTATACAAACTACTGCCAGCTGCTCCCTCTCTGTTGGACTTTGGTACTGCATGTTACTTTCGCGATTTAGATCCGGGGCTTTTCATAAAACATTCGGGGCTTCAGCCCAAGTAGCCGGGCCTAACGCCACCCCTGTTGAACACCTTGCGATTTTGCAAGTTCTCCCACTTAGAAATCATGGAGGGGTCTGAAATTTATGGAGCTAGGATTGGGACAATATCCAGCGTAACTTGTACCAAGTTTTGTAACTTCAAACATGTTTCATCACATGTTACTTTGGATTCGTAACTTGTAACTTTAGTTTTCTAACTTGTAATTCTCAATTCGTACTTGTATTTCTTGTTTTGTAACAGGAACATTGTATTTTGTACATTTATTTTTTATTTTGTAAAATCAAACTATTATTTTGTACATTTACTACTCATTTTGTAACATCAAACATTCATTCAGAAACATGAAACTTTCGTTTTGTAACTAGCAGACTTCCAAATTGAAAAAATCAAGGTACAAGTTTGAAATCAAAACTCTCAAAACACACATTTCATTCTACAGGTACAAACCTCAACAGTTACGGATCTTATTGTCTCGATTCTAGCGTCAGTGGGAGGAACTTGGGTGGAACCAATGAGAGCACGAGTCTTAGCTACCAATCACGTTTCTCGAATTCCTGTCCAATCATTGGGAGAGGAGGGCAGGGTTCTGTCAGAGCTGTAGAGAGAGTTACGACACGGAATGCGGGAGTCACGTGGTTCATGTAGCTTCGAATAGTTCCAAACAGCCCCCGCTGCTGCATTAACTGCAGTTCATTTTCGGTGTTTCGGAAGGATTTTGCACCTACAACGTGAATTTCAGACCTCCATGATTTCTAAGTGGGAGAACTTGCAAAATCGCAAGGTGTTCAAATACTTATGTTCCTCACTGTATAATGAGATGTACACCCTGAACTAGTTGCCAGTCCATGGAAACAAACAACCCCCCCTAAAAAAGAATTATTAAAACAAAATGCACTCACTCCTAAGGTTGTCTTTGAATCACCAATTAAAATGACACGCACGCTTTAAGCTGTGGGAGGCATCTGGACCTAGAGAAAACCTGCATAGAGCGAACATGCCAAGTCCAACTGTAGACCCGTTTGCTGATTAAAATAATATAGTACTAAACACCACTGCACCACTTTTAACCTTCTATCATTGTTTTACCTCCAAAACGCAAAGGAAATAAATCCCATGGACTTATATGGGAATGATGTAGCTCTCTCTATCGTATCCGTGGCAACAATTTTTGCTGTCATTGCATTCCTCTGTCTATCTATTCTAATATTATACCAGTAGTTGGTTTGAGGTGTTTAAGCACAAATTCTATAGTTATTAACTAAATATCTTTAACACCTGAGCGTGTTTTAAATTGCTGGCCATGATGACCTGTAATACAAAGCATGCGGCACCTGTGTTAAACTGGGAGATGGGAAATATATCGCAAAAGTCCAAATGGAATTCTGAAACCCCGATTAAGTGAGTGATAAGTGAGCGTGGTTCAGTCAGCAGCATCCTGCCAGAGCTCCGGTGTACGAGACCTCTGGTGGAAGGATTACTGAACAGACAGACCCAGAGAGGTACAGCTGTGCACTGGAGGTTTCATTTCCCAATTTAAAGATTTATCTTATTTCCTTTGGGATTTGTACTGTAGAAAACATCAGCTTACTGTGGACCATGTTGTTTTAATATAAACCAAGTTCAGCCCAGTATTTTTATTATATGAGTGTTTCTAGTTTTTTTAAATGCATCATTATTGTGTCAAACTACAATGTGGACATTTGCAATTTCTATATAACAATTCACACACATTTATCCGTGAGGCTAGATAGTTATTCAGGTATAAAAAAACAGGGATATTTAGCAGTATTTGAATTCAATCTCTAAATGTGGCACACTAGAATTACATGAAACAAACAAAAATAATCAATAAATGCTAATGAATACTGTTTCCCTATAATGAAATGTGATGTCTGATGTTTTAGGGGATTGGATCTGAGATAACTAAAGCGAACTTGGGGGAAATTCTTTACTGCTGCCAAGACATAAAGTGTCATTTCAGACAGGGTGTTCTCTCACTCACCAAATGTTGTGGGGAGGTGAAGTGTCTCGAGGTCACCTTTCAGCAGAGTGCCTTTTGGTGTCCATGCTGTCAACCGTGGGTGCACGATTATCTTCGTCCAGCCGGATCATGGTGCCTGGAAGGCAGGCAGGAAGCAAGAGGGCAATGGGAGAAGGAGACAGAAGAAAAGGACGTGTTTGAACTAGGAAAAGGGATTTTATAGCATTTGAAAAGGAAGGCAAATATCAACAGGAGGAAAAAGCTCTCACACTTGGAATAAAGAATTTTTCATGGCAGCACAAAGCCAAAAGTTTTCAGTTTGCAGCTTGTGTGCAATTTTTCTGGATTGCTTATTTGGCTTTCTTAATTCATCTTTAAAGCTGCTGCAATGTTGAAACCTTTTTTCTTCTTCTTCATGCTTTATTTATGCAATATGTTTTCATCAAATATCTACTCTACCATTCCCCGCTGGATAAAATCTGTCAAAAGGAAGAATGGCATGTCTTCATGTCTAAGTGTTCATGCCTTATATAGTCTGGGTCTACTAGAGTTGCCTGCTGCACATAGCTGGATGTAGCCAAGGGCTAAGGAAGGAGACCTTTTCAGAGCTCATTATAACAGTCTTCAAGTCTTCAGAGACAAATATGAATCCACTACAAAAGAGCGAGCTAGTCATTAAAAGTAATCAAAAATAATGGACCAGTTCCCAGACCAGTTCCCAAAATACAGTTAATAAAAAACTAGAGTTCAAATGGGCAAACAAAAGCTAAACGGTGACAAACCAGTAGGTTAGGGCTTGACCCTACAACATTATACCTCACAAGTAAAAACAAACAAATTGTGTTAATTATAAATTACATCATAAAGGTAAGGTGAATCCGGCAGAAATGAATGCCTTGCAAACACTCAGGGCAACAAATAGTCCAGAATTGCTTGGATCAGCATGGAAAAGCAAGATTTAGAGTCCTATTTCCTGATATTTGGACATCGTGCCTCGGATTGGCTGACAGCATTGCGACACTACCACTGACATAATTCGTGCAATGTTGAGGTTTTATGTCCACAAACAATACAAGCCTGGAGGAGATCTGCTGTGTAGTGGTGTTGCTAACGCTTACGGTAGCCTAGGCGTCTTTTGCTGATTCTGGACGCTAAAACAACAACAGCCTTTCCCGTTGTGAGCCAGTATGGGTGAGTCCATAAGTAGTTTTCCAGGAACACTAATCAGAGCAACTCGCACTGATGCAGCTCGGCCCCACCACTGCTCCCAAAGGCATGGTTCGGTATTTTACTTCTACTTTCTTCCCTGTTTTTAGTCTCTGCTCTTTTGAGGTAGCTAGCAAGGCTGAGCGGGCTGGGCGCTGACTGGCTAGGGGGCGGAGTCACTAGCTCTGGAGTTTGTTGCCTTCTGTTTTCCCCATTTCCTGGTTCAGTCTGACAATAAGCCATAAAACTGAGCAAAATGTCCAGCAACACCATCATTCTTCAGCCGAGTTGTGTTTCTATGGAGCATACAAGTTACCGTACACTGTTTACCGATCACCTCATGCTACTTTGTCATGACTGAGCACCACGTGGACCTCAAGGGATAAACCATCAATCCTGCTCAATGGTGAACTTTCCTGGCGGGGTCACCCATGAAGACAGTGGGAGGGTTAAATGAAAATAATTAACTGTTTTCCTGCTTTCTTTTTTTCCAAGGGAATCCCAACAGGATGGGGTACTTTATCCTAATACTAACAACCTTGCTTGGCTTGACAGCTTTATGCTGGGTCTCGTGGGATGTTTCTAAGTGAGCCATAAAGGAGACTGAGGTGTAATCAGACTTGATCTGAGCCTGCAATTATATAAGATGCCCAAATAATGAAGAGGATAATATTAAATAGTAAATGTGCAAACACAATAGGGCCATCTATAACAATTACTTCCATACAGTACATTTGGAGGGCATGCATTTAAAACCAAAAAGATAAGAGTAATTATATTTGTTTTATTACTCTGTTCCTCAGTGTGAAAACCTCTGAAATTCTTAAAAAGGAATTTGGTTAGAGAATTAGACTTTGTTCCATGAAACTAAAAATTGCATGTGTGCAACAGGGATTTGAAAAGCATGAGAGCACGACAAATAGCAACAAAAATTTGTATTTCATTTGCATTGGTTAACATTAATCTTGTGTTTTGTTCTACAGAAGTGATACAGCTGGGATTTAATTTTGCTTAGATCAAATACTTGTAGTTTAGCAGCAAAAAAAAAATCCAGTTTTACTCCATTCTTGTACTCACATTTCAATTCTCGTGGTTGTCCTTGACTTCAAAAATATCTCTAACTGGAAACACAATAAACAATAAATGGAAAACAGTGGGGCCCTGAGTCGAAACTGGGACTTTCAATCAAAAAGCTTTTAGTGTGGTACTTTTGGGTCTCCTTACAATAATTGCCTTTACAATCAAAGTGTTTCTGTAAAAAAAATAAAAATAAAATAAAATTCTGCTTCATTTTCATTATTTATTTGCTATTCAAAAAATATTTTCAATAGTAGTTACTGTGGACCACGACCCACAGACAGATCTCAGTCGTTGGGTTCGAATCTATGGTCGTTTTTCAAATTGTCTCTGCACGAAATTGGACAGCCCTAAGACCAATCACTGTAGAAATAGTAGAAGTACCTCCATCTGCTTGTCTCAGACAAAAGGCCCAAATCTAAATCGTCTATAGTTTATGCCAAGGCCATTTCAACTGAGTTCCATCATTGAGCTGCTGCCATCATTGTTGTTTTGCTCCATCGCAAATCTTCCATGATCATAAAACAAAAGTTCTACCGTAATAACGTTATGCCCACCCAGCGTTTCTCTACAAACATAGAGCACAGTGATTGACCTGGCCTAAAAACGCAGTCGAGCTAAGGGTAAACCTGCTAAAGCTACAATGGAGCAATAACAGGCTGACCTGAAGACCAAACTCTTTTGCTATGGCTACTTTGTCTAGATTTCTAGGCTAGTGGTTTTACATGACTCCATCATGATTCCTAAGCTTACATAAATTGCAATGATGTCATCACATGCTCCACTAAGTAAATCCCTGGTTCCAGGATTATATAACACTTAATGTATGTCAAGCTTTGCAAAAATGGCAACTGTTGCATGAAAACTGCAGTTTAAAAATACAGGTTTGTCTGAATGCCAGGGTGCCATAATGATCGAATTAGTGTGATACAGTCTTATGGTTGTTTTACATTGCTCTCAAGTCAACAGGAGGGAATAATAGTCACACAATGCAGACACCACAGGAGCAACAGCTGAAACATGACTGACTGGATTTAGTAGATTAAACATAACCAGTGCAAATCTCAGGACACCTTTGCTCACCGCCTCATTCCTCTTTACTTCTTAAATGGAGACGCTTATCTCACCCAGCATAAGTCTATGAAGCCACAAAGAAAGCTCTTAGAGTTCACTGGCTGAAAAATCCATTGATACCCACTTTCACTTCCTTTTATCCAGATTTCTAACTGCAGCTAAAGAAACCCTAAAAAAACACCCTTGATTTACTGTGTGTTGAGGATTTATGTTAAAGCTCTTGTTCACTTGTTTTGTCAATACATCTGCAGTGGTCTCGACTATGGATGGATTACTTGTGAGTCAATCTCTGTGGGGGGAAAAATATATATATTGTGCTCTGGTTTCAGGAAGTAGAAGTTTGTTGGAGGAGGGGGGAGCGAAAAACTGCGTGAATTGGAGTTTTACTAATCATGATATTCGGACATTTGACCTCTGACTGGCTAACAACACAACTCTTCCACTACATCCATTCGCTCTGCAACATTATTGCTCTATCTCCACAAATAACGCAAGCCTGAAGAAATTCAGCCACACTAAAGAGTTGCTAATGCTAACAGTTAGCTTCTACTAGCTGGGATGTGCTCTGCTCTCTCCTGGGCGCCAAATCAACAACAGCCCTCCCCGTCGCCAAGATGGGTGAATGAATTGAAATCTAGTGTGACATAGCGCTGTGTTTATTTCCAACCTGAGCATTTCCCTGTCAAATTTCTATCGATGACTAATGCAGGAATTTGTCATTGTTCAAGCTCCCCTGCTCACCACCGCTTGCTCTACAACACGTTCTCACACCCGAAGTGGCTAAAACTGACTAAGGGTGACCAAGCGTTTGTTTCCGACGTGCTGTGGAGCATCCCAGTTTCTCTTTCTAAATTTCCCGTGTTTGAGAGGAATGATACAACTAGAATCAAAATTTTACATGTGCAGGTGGGTCAAGGCTAGGATGGGGAAGGTTAAATTGCAAGAGGGTTACGGTCACAATTCGGTGAAATCTCCTTTTTTCCGCGGACGTCGGAAAGCAACGCTCTGGCACAAGCATCACAAACATTTGGTCACCCTTCGTCAGTTTTAGCCACTTCGGGTGTGAGAATGTGTTGCGCTCTACCAACCTCTAAGACTGCACTTCCCAGCATCCCTATCACCGGCGCTTCCTGTTCACATCATCACTCTGGAAGTGTTTCTCCTCAGCTCAGCACTCAGTCGTCGTTTTTCTTGAACCTTGTTCCGAGTTTCCGGGCACAACAAACCAATGCTGTCTGCTACCAGTAAGTCAGCTCTTTTCTTTTCCCGGCACAGCTGTACGGCCTTGTTTCCCTTCACGACCCATACCACTGTTCCAAAATTGAACTGCATGCTCTGCCTAACCCAACATCAGTTATTCCATGTTTGAGTCCTTCAAATATGCCACAGCCAAACTCCCGCGTTAGCCGTCCAGGTCAGACCTGACAGAAATATGGGTAGCTAACTATTTTCACAATCAGCTTGTATGTGAAGCTTACAGGGGCCAATCATGTTTAAAAAAAACAAAAAAAAAAAACAGAAAATATATGTTCCTCAGTGAACCTGCACAAGTCAAAACATATTCTTATCCGTTTTGTTCAGTATCCAAACACCTGCACATAAAGGCTTTGCAAGATGCACAGCAGACTTAGATCAAGTGGAGTAGTTTTTGTCTCCAGCAGAAACATAGAATATGAGAAGTTTATAAGTTTGCGTGAGGCAACAACGCTGACAGGTACAGAAAGACAACAGGAGGAAAAGTGCAGAAACTGCGTGTTTCTTATGGCTGAACTGTGGCTG